CCACAGTATCTTCCTCCTCATACCTCCAAGCAGAGAGAGAGGCCCATAAGAAATGGGGGTTACCACTGTCTGGAGGGCAGATGGCTCTTCCTAGACCCCAAGCAAGCTCCACAGGAGCCCTCAGCATGGACCGGGCCCTCCCTAACATGGGAAGACCAGAGGTCTGCTCCTGCTTGCTTCAAATTCTTCATTGTAAACTGATGTCCCCCCTGGGCTTTAACCTGGCACTGTTCGTTTGCTCCAACCCTGCACTCCAATACATCCCATGGTACATCCCCCCCCGCCCCGGCATCCACAGCCTCTCAAGTACCCCCACCCACAGCAGCCTCAGATAACAACAGTAAAAAACAGCTCTTCGGCTGCATTTTTCATGAGGCTTTATGACGCGTTAACAAAACATGGCACCGCTTCCATAGGAAGTAATTATTACTTGTTATTGTTTGACCGTCGGTACATAATAAAAATACCTTAAAAACAATACCGCAGCGCTCTCTGAATGACAGCTTTTTGCCCTGCGAGGTTTTCCACTTACCCAGCTTTGCAGTGGTGCCTATTTATTTTTCGGAATGCTTATTCATAAAAGACAAGCTTTTTTTCGAAGGGTACAGGGACTTTATTCATAAATACAGAAGCACCTTAATAAAAGAAAGATGTGATGAAGTCTTCAAAGCAGGCAAGAAAACTGATGAACAAAGACATTCCCATAACAACTGAGCTTTATCTGATCAAATTCCAATAAAGCCTGCATTTGGCATAAATCTTTAAAAACATAGCAAGGGCCACTGAAGGATGCTAAAACTTGTTTATTTAATATTATTCCTCCTCCCTCCCCCAAAAGTACTTTATCCTCTTAATATTTTCTGAAGTCTTGGTGCATGTTGAGAAGCGCATCGAGCGAACGCAGCCCAGTGGAAGGACGGGAGGAGAAGTGTGGGAGAGCGCTCACCATCTGAGGTCATGGCTGCTTCCTTCCTTCCCTCTTCCTTCCCACTCTCCAAAGTGCTGATGATCAGCAGCACCACCAGCAGATTAACCCTCACTTGCAGGCAGAAGAAACAACAGAAAAGATAGTGCCTTTAAAGAATTTAATTCTCTGTGGCTTCACCTAACAAGACCCAAGAAGAGCCAAGAAGCTTTTATACCAGCCTTACAAAAGAAACTTAATGTCTAATTCTGTGAGGTTTACTATTTTCCATCCTAAGACTACTTAATATGTGCACTGTGCTTCCCATCTGTGCAGGAACACACAGATGTGCCTGACTAATCCTTAAATACCAAGAGAAGTATTCTAGGTGAAAACAGACATTAAAAAAACTATTTCAGCTCTCGGGGATTATCACTTCCCCACTGGCTTCACAGACGCATCCAGGGCACCTCCATGACAATTAAATCTCCAGGACCTACTGCTCAGAGAAACCTGGAGGGCAGCAGACCTGGCAAACAGATCTGCAACCACATGCTCCCAGCATAAATATGACAGGGTGCTCTCTGCTCCAACCCTGCCTCTGAGGTGGGAACAGGGTCCTGCTGCTGCTGCGCCAGAGGCCAGGAGTGAGGGGCCACAGCCCTGGCTCGCCACGCCAAGCAGCCCCAGACTGCCTTCCCGGAGTCAGTGCAAACAAGGGCTGCAGGAAAACACAATGTCCTTTTCTGATGTGGTTTGGAAAAGGGAGCCAAGCATAGCCTGAGGAAAGCTTAGCTGAAAAGGTGCAGTCTTGCATTTCTTTTTTAATTTTAAGGGGTAGATCTGTAAGGTCAGAGGACCACACAAAGAAAGAACCAGGAGGAGAAACAAAATATTTATATTTTGCTTGCTTATTTTTTCCATTTGCCCTAAACATCTGTCCCTAGCTGTTCCTAAAATAGTTCTTCAGAGTAATATTGTCCCTTCTGCACCAGTGGTATATATACTACTACTAAAATGCCACTAGACTATATCAGAGAGCTCATGGAGAGCAGCTAGGAGACTTGCATGTGTTCAGGGACAGCCACTTTCCCACTGAACCACAAGAGAGCTCTGACTCTCTCCAGAAGACTCGTGCCCCTCTCTTCCTGCTTGACTGAGAAAGATGAGGGGACACCGGAACAACCATTCCCTGAAACTGCAGGTATGAGAGGAATTTCAAAAACCCTCATCAAGATCTCCTCAACAAAGCAAAACACTAGGCAACCCGAAACTTGGTGGGAGGGAAAAAAAAAAACCCTAATAATTAAATGTTGCTTATGCAAGATGAAAAACCACATTGTTCCTTCTGGGCACAACAGCCCTGGCAAGCCCAGCATGTATCTCACAAGACAGGAAGCAGTGCTTATGCACGGAGGAGCAGCAGCAGCTGCACATGCCAACTCCACCAGCAACCTCCTCTGCAAGGCTCGCTCTCCATGCATGGCTTCTCATGCTGGAAGCAAAGATGTCCAAGTAAGTCTTCAGCCCTTACAGCACATATTTGCCTCTCCCACTTCCACTGAAACGAGCAACTTCCTCATTCTCCCCTTTTACCTGCAATGTTTGTACCTTCCTTTGGTGCTAGACACCCCTATCTGCACTATCAATCTACCATTATGCAGCCCTGAAGCTCCTCTAGCATCACTGTGACACCAGTGCCTCCTACTCAACCTTCCTCACCTTCAGCTCCTTAGATTTTCTGCTCTCTAATCTCTAAAATTCGTACACTAAGTTTTATGATGCTTTCTATACCATTGTCCTACAACACATCATAGAATCACAGAATATCTCAAGTTGGAAGGCACCCATAAGGATCATGGGTCCCTCCTCTTTAATTTCTCCCTGCTTTGCTTTTCCTGTTAAACACTGCTTGCTAACCTCACATGTGATGGAGATTAGACACAGCAGTATTTAGGGACTCTGATGCTCCTACAGTACAGCTGCTGGCAAGGACCCCATGCAGTTCAGACTGGCCATCACAGAGCTAAGATAATACCTCCACACATGGTTTGTGGGAGAGCTGCATACAAGATTTCAATAAATAAATATGAACAAAGCTGGGAAAAAACAATGAGCAGAAGGCTACAGGAGCTCGTGAGAGGTAAAGCAGAGAGGAACTAACAGGGAACTTTCATCATTTTAATAGATGGTTTGCAAGGGAAAGGCTCCAGAGACAGCTTGCCCCTCTACAGGCAAAGGAGCAAAGTAACATGCCTAAAATATGCCTGGCACAAACACACACTCAGAGCTCGCTGCCTTTGGCTTGCCTGTTACTTGGTGGAGAAAAGACCTAATCCTAGAATAACCTGCACTCATTACTCACCTAACACTTCACTCAGTATGCTCCACCCAGACTAAAAAAGAAACTGCCTTACCAGCTACATATTTATCTAAAGGACCCAAGTACCTGCCCTGGGTGCAGGTGTCAGTCATTTCCATGGGCACAGGCTTGCTGGAGTCAGGCTCTCTCACATAAGCTCCAGCTGTTTCTCATCATAAGGCGAAATCCCAGCCAAGCAAAGGCCCTTTCCTCCCTACCTCCACTGAACCCTTTGTGTCCCACGTTCCTCAAACACAGAAAGGCAATGAACCAAGCTCAGGCAACCGTAGCTGTACTCCTTTCAGGTGGCTAACAGGTCTCAAAAGTAGAACAACAGAAAGCCCAGAGATCAATTCCTTTTAGGATGTCTGAACAGTGAGGTCAAGACAGAACACACAATCGTTTCAACAGGCTGGTGTGGCAGCATCACAGGGCCTCGTAGTGTAATCCTCTGTGATGGCTGTTATACATAGACGACATCAGCGACTCTCATTAAAGATTCCTAGCTTTCTTTTCTAACAAATGACATGTTATTTACTCAATTTTTCTGCCATCTTGTCCTTGGGAAGGGAAGGCAGCCAGGTCACAGTCATGAAGCCAAAAGCCTAGTGACCACCTATGGATCTGAACCCCTTTCAACTGGGAATCACACTTCTCCTATGTGTAAACAACGACTAAACAGTCCAGTGTGCCTTTTCCTGCTGTCAGTGTCTAAGGTTGGCTTCTACTGTCACTTCGTCAAGCATGTGAACCCAAATTCCCCCCTCTCTGCTCCAAGTTTGGCTTGCACTTGATCAGACCAGGCAGGAAAAGGTGAAAGCTGAAAGTGAGGGAGAAGACTAACTCAAATTTGCACCCACTGGATCTGAACTGGACTCTACAGTCCTGCAAACCTAGGGCAGTGCTCAGGCACAGCTAATGTGGGCAGCAAGAACAGAGCCAAAGAGGGGCTCAATATATTTTTACAAGGTGGACTCCTATCTGGCCAGGTTTTCAGCAGAACAAGTCCCAGGCTGTTGGAACAACCATGAGTTTTACTCCATATAGGACTGCTGGGAGCTGAGTCCCTTTTGATTGCTGTGCTTGTCAGCAAAGTGAGCTATGCTTTAGATGAAATATGCTTTAGAAAATATTTGCACAGACTTCCTATATAAGTGACATTAATGGCTTTAAAGTCTTTAAGATCAAACGACATCAATCTTATCAACATTCAGGAGTTAGAGAGTCATGGGGTCATTTTCTTCCTCACTCCTCACTCCATGAATTGTCCACTCCCTTGCCTTAACCCCTGGGCTACTATACAGAAGCCAGGTCTGCAACTGCTACATTTTGAAGCTCAATTATTAACACCATTTCTGTGAGGAACAGTTAACAGGATTCTTCTGAACACAAGCCAGAGTCAGAAATTTGACTTCTATGTAAACTACAGTACAGGCCAGCTCTTGGGAGACAGAGATCCTGGAAACGACTTGTTTGATGTCTTGTTCCATCACTTATCATTATATGCTGAAACCCTGGAGGCCTGAGGCACAATTACTAAAAAAATGTGTACATTTCAGCTTCATATGATTTGAATAAAGTCCTTTCTAAGAAAGGCACAGGAAACAGGATGCTACTTTGGAAAGGCAGGACTCAATCGCTTCTCTCCATGGTTTGTTCCACGTGCTAGGTGGGTACAAGGTAGGGTTTGCTGCAGAAAGACAGAGAGCTGACATGTGTGAGGTGCCACCATACCTGGTACAGCTCTATCCGCTGCTCTGAGACTCGTGCCTTCGAGTTCTGCAGGCGGAAGACCCTGAACTCAGCCTTCACCAAGTTGGAGGCATTCTTCTCCATCGCTGAGACGTCAAATCTGACGATTCGGAAGTAAAGGCTGTAATAGCTCGGTGGGATGGCATCTGCAAGAAGACAGTGTGATTTTATCTTTTTTTTTTTAAATAATAAAATACATTGTTCCTTCAAACAGTGTAATACAAGACAGCCTCAGTAAGGGAAATATCTGCAGCATGATTCAGTTTCCAATGGCCAGTTTAATATTATTAACAATTTTATAAAAAAAAAAAAAAAGAGCACCACCTGTGTTTGATTATAGGAATAACATATTAATAGAGATTAACAACTATTTCCAACTCTATTTTAGGTCATGCATTTAAACCTCACTTCTTTCAACATACTGGTGGAAAATCCCGGATGCTTGTAAATTGGGAAAAAATCATAGCAGTTGGTATCTGGCAAATGCCTTCAGACTTGCACAGAGTTCACAGGGACCCGCTAAGATGACAAGTAACAGCAACTCATCTGATCTGTATGTTCTCTGAAGCCCATTTCCCCCCAGAATATGGAGCATAAATTATCCAGCTTCAGATTGTTTCATATTTAGTTAATAAAGGATTTTATTGGAATAATATATTCATTCTGATCACAGTGACAGGGGCAGGAAGAGTAGAGGAAGAAAAGAGGGAGGGAAAAGGCAAACAGATAGGAGATGTTATAAACGGAATGACATTCATTTTGACCACTTGGAAGCAGTAAACGCCATAAATACAACCACTCCTCACTATATACTGGGGAGCAAGCAGAAAAAAAAAAAGAGTTAGAAAAATGGACTCAAGTCTTCAATAACAGTGTTAAACACAGCAGTTTAGGTTTCAAAACAGCCTCCTCTTCCTTCCTGGCTGAAAACCCTAACTGAGGCTAAGCAGCAAAGCACTTCTGCATAACCCGGGTTACCCTAAAGCGTTCGGCGATCACCTGTGGCCCTTCCAGCCGTCCTGGCCAGCAGCAGGGAGAGGAACCCGTGCGCGGCACCCTCCTGGCCCGGCAAGGCTCTCCTCAGCTGCAGAGCCAGGCTCGGGGAGGAGTCGAAATGACTCAAAGGCCCTTATAAAATCTCTGTTTGAACCGAGGGAAAGGTTTCCTCTTCTCTTACAGTATGAAAACTGATGTGGATAAAGAAAAAAAAAAAAAAGAGAGAGGAAAATTGTATTTGCAGGGCAGGGGGGGGGAATTTTCAGCTGAGGAAGCAAAGCTCGCAGGCCTGCCTGGGGCCACGCCAGCAGGAAGACTTCAGGTAATAATTACAAAACACAGGAGTTTTCCCACTAGTCACGTAGCTCAGGATTTGTCACGCAGTGACAGGAGACGACAGCCTCAACGTTAGGGAGGTGAGCAGGAGCAGTTCAGCACCTGTGAAACACCCAGGCCTCGTCTGAAACCCCAGCGAGGCCTCCTGCTCTGCTCCCTCAGCTATCCAGGCATCTATCAATCAGATAAAGTACCTTCTTCTGGAAGATACCTAATTCTTAACAGATAAAGTACACACGAGTTATCATTTCTATGTAAAGAAATGGGAGAAGCCAAGCCCAGTACATTTACATTTATTTCTAACTACTAACGATTAAAGGTAGTTGGAATAAATCCTTAATAATATTTATTCATATCAATAAGGCATATTAACTTAAAGACCTTCTTCCAAATATTTAGTGTTTCTAGACTGGCTGCTATTATCACAACTTCCGAGCAAGGCAACAGCTCCTGGCTACACGAGGCAACACCACTCACACATTTAATAACTGTTTTTGTTGTAGCTCTTTGAATAACTCTAAATTTAAACTGACTACAGAATAAATACCAAGTACAAGTCAGTCATACTAGGAATAAAGCAAATTCACAAACATGCTTCCTCTACATAATTGAGTCAAACCCTCTTTTTTACATTATCTGAGGTAAAAACTCCTAAAAATAATTGTAGCTATGAGAAAATCTTTGACAATAAAGAAATAATCTCGGCCTCAACTATAGAAGCATTGTAAGTGAAAGACAGTAAGTTCACAAAATATTTTTTAAAAAATCCTCTGAAAGAGTACTTCCCAAAGCGGACCCTCAGTATGGTCAAATGGGTAAGAGGTATAAATACAAACAGGAAGCCCCACGCTTCTTTATGATCCCATTTAATTAAAGAAACAAAATCAAAAGTTTCTCAAATTTTCACATCTGCAAATTAGCCTCGCACCACAACTGCTCCTCTCTCCCATGAGCAACACATTAGTGCTGGTCTCTCTCAAAATAACAAATGAAGCTCTTCTGAGAAAATCTTAATTTTATGCAGCAATAATCTTAATTTCGATATATTTTGCAAATTCTTATAAAAGCTACTCGGTTCAGACATTACATCCTCATTTAAGAGAGAAATAGTATCTTCAACTTATTTTTCTGCTATAGGGAACTCCAAGACTACTACTTGTTCTTCAGCCAAACCTAATCCTACTGGGAATATAATTTGGCATAATAACATGTATATCTAAGAGTCATGCTTCCAGGATGAGTTGTAAGTTGTCCTTCCCTGTCATTTATTTGAGGCATCAACCTACCATTTCATTCCCTGTGGACAAGCCAAACTAGCAGCCAGCCACTTGCCCTGGCACAGACAAACTCTGTCCATCTTGGCTTTATTTCAGATTGAAAAGTCCTATTTAACTGTCAGTTTAATTTATATTTAGCTTCTAACTTATTTATAGAATTTTCTTGTGCTATTGTAGCCTCTTTTCAGTTTCTGTATTTTAGATACTGTATATTACAAATCTGTGAATATGTATCTGAACGGATTTTCCTGAACCATCTCTGCATTTACATTTTTTTCTCTCTTTCATGTATAAAGGGGATAGACAGAAAAGGAATACTCTTTCAGTATGCATGTTTTTGTGTTTGCATATGTGCATCCGTATACACAGCAAATGAGTATTTACCTTCCACTGGAAGGCAGGCATGGGACACCCACCAGGAATAAGAATGAATTCTTGTTTTACAAAAGTTTAATCTGTTTTATAAGATAGTTCTACATCTTGCAAAACCCACATAAGAAATTTTATTTCTTTAGTATTCTATTGTTCACAACAGTATCCACAGAAAGTCAATTCAGGAAAAGACGTTATTCATGGACAGCTGAAAAAAATAGTTACTAGTTGGAACCCTCCCCCTGAAAAAGAATGGCTGACTCCAGAATTAGGGTTTATGTGGAAGCTAATCAACATTAACACTGAGAACTGAGACTTGCAACTCTCTTTAAGGGAATGGAAAGAACCCTATGGAGTCTACAAGGTTTTGGATTAGCCTTTAAGTGATCTCAGATGCTGCAATTTATCTCTCTTTGTGACTCCACCTTAACCTGACAGTTGTATCAATTCAGACTCAGTTGGATACCTCTTGACTCCCCTCCAGTTTTGGCCCAATGACTCCAGTAGACGCCAGGATGACTCTAACCAAGTTAGTCTGCAAATACAGTTACGCTGCTGCAGACTGGACTCCTTAAGTATTCTTTGAACTGTTATCATTAATGAGTGGAATTAAATCAATATGTTTCCTGTAGCTAGGAAAACACAGATTTCTTTTGTTTTGGAGTGAGGGAATAGTAAATGCAATGAAAGATTCAATTTTTACCATCTTTAAATTATTCATTAATTCAACTCTCAAAAAACTGAAGACTTCCAGCTGTAATAATCATAATCACAATCACCACAGTATAGTTGAAACAAGAGTTACAAAACACAGTTGGAGAACGTGAAGGCAGCATCCCTCCTTCTCCCCTTAGCCTTGCTGAACACCGAGAATCACAAGTTTAGCTTTGTTATTTCTTTTTCTTTTTTTTTTTTCTTGAACAAGCTGAAACTTCATCAGCTGCTTTACACAGGACACTCCGAACAGCCAGGTTAAAATGTATTCTGGTATGTGAGTGTTCAAGCACGTAAGGAAACTGTGGTTTCTGTGCTTCTTACTGACTTCGTTCAATATCCAGCAACGTTTAAGCTCCTGTGACAGCAACTAGGACAGAAAGCAGCCCTGTTCTGATAGAGCACAAAAGTACCGATGGGAGGGCTGCAGGAGACCTATCCCAAAATGCTCAACTGTCTGCAGTATTGCTCCAGGTTGGAGCATTGTCAGCAGGAGACACTGAACACCTCCTCTGACCAACTGTCCAGAACAGCATGTAGAGCCCCAAGCATCGCTCCTGGGAGCAGAGCGAGATGGAGTCAAGCTCCCTTAAACCAAAAGCGTGCATGGAAGGAGTGTCTTTCATGCTAGAGATACTCCCCAAATCAGGAATCTCCTGCACAAACAGATGACACTCTCGCCTTCCACAGTTGTGTTTGATGAACTAAGCCCTGCATTTCCACAGCTTTTCTCACAAGTACTGTGTGTACTGACATTTCAGAAGAAACAAAACGCTGTTTGACACAGCTCTTCTGAGAGTTGGGCTTTCACTCTGGCGAGGAAAAAGACCTAAATTCAATTGTATCCAAACAAGGCTTTTTTTCCCCTCTGAATTTTCATTTCTGCTATTGAAACAAAAAAATCAATTATATGCACAGCCCAAGTAAGGAAATGTAAACAACTTTTCTTTTTTCTCGTTGGAAGAGGCCAGACAGGCCGACTTCACACATACACCCACACTGGAAAGGCTGAGAGCTTCAATCTAATCCTTCCATCAAGGGTTTGTAATAAATGCTCCAAAGATTTATTTTTATTCCCTTTTGTGTTTATTAAACTTTGGAGGGTTTCTTTTCCTTTTTCTTTTCTTTCTGGTGCTTTGCCCATTCTTTATTACGGCAGCTACAAAACACGGAGTGCCCTTTTCTTCTTGCCCTCTTTTTTTTTTTTTTTTTTTTCCCCTCCTCGTCTTTCTAACTGCAGTACATGAATGACCATGTAGTAGGCTTTGAAGCAGCACATGCAAATATTTATAAGAGTAGCTTGATTGTTATTAAATGCAGTTGTTATGCTTTCCACACTCTGGCAAGCTTCCCTAGCCCCTCTAACTATTAGGACCATTTAGGCTGTTTAGATTTCAGCTCACTGATAGCAAATCCTACTCTTTTTTTGTAACAAGCAGCATAGTGTGACA